TGGCTGAAACTATACATATGCCCCTCTACCCCATGGCTGCTTTCGACTTGACCCTAGAAGACAACAAGACATTTGAAAATACTATGTTTTCAAGCTTTGATATATAACTGGTTAGTTTACTGCATGGACATGATGCTAGCAGGAGCCAGGGAAACCCACAGGCTGTGATACAGGCTTCTTGGTTGTGGAGGTGTTTGACGCATTGAGTTTGGTGGAGAAAGGAGCTTCGGTGAGTTAACCGTAGGTGGTGTTTTCTCTGGCAGGTGTTGACATGATTACAGCCTGCGACATTCGCCTGTGCACCCAGGACGCCTGGTTCCAAGTTAAGGTATAATCATCTGATTTTATCACTGTGGTGAGGACAATTAGGAAACCATGGAATAGATAGCTGATTAAATTAAGACCAACTTATGAAGATTTGTGTTAAACAATTTCACTGATGAATGCAACTGTTTGTTTACTGCCTTTGATCTCTATATAAACATTTGAATGAAAACTGCATTCAATGTATTTATCATTCATAATATTCAAATAGTTCTTTACAAGGACAAATGTACTATCCATGTAACATGAGAAATCCTGATAAGATAGTGTGTTTGTTTGTCTTGGTGCCACGATCCTTACAGAACTGAAGGGAATACAATAGCTACAAGTGTTCTACACTACAAACGGCACATCAAAAACTACATGTAGACGATGACATCTAGTGCAGATTACACCAAGGGGTGATAATTAGTTTTTCCAAAGGCAATATGCCAACAACAGTATAATTTCTTTTGGAAGACATGCTTGCAATTCAGTGATCCACCTACATACAGATTTGTCCAAAGAATTCAAGCTGAATCAAAGTAAGAATAAATTATCATGAAATACATGTTTTCGTTTTGTTTCAGATAGCTAGCGATGCCATTGTGAAAGTTTTCTTTATTTAAAATTTAACAGTCCTCTTGTGGAAAGGCTCAATGTCATAACTCTTGTTTCTTTTAATTAATGAGACACACATTTCATATCCTACAGCAAGGTTTTGAGCAGAGATTACACACTAGATCTTGAGATTCTGTTTGCTAAATGTAGCATTGATGATGCCCTCTGCTTTGGCTCCATAGGAGGTTGATATTGGACTTGCAGCAGATGTTGGAACACTCCAGAGACTCCCAAAGGTCATCGGCAGCCAAAGGTGAGCCAGCAGCATGATTTACAATTGGGACAAGTTTCGAAGCAATTTATGACATGACACTGTTAAGTGACTGAATGCTTGTAGGTTAAAAAGAAAAAATCAATTTCTATTTTCAACAGTCTTGTTAATGAACTGGCTCTGACAGCGAGAAAGATGTATGCTGATGAAGCTAAGAGCAGCGGACTGGTCAGGTAAACAATGTTCCCTCATCACTCTTTTTCCAAATTAAAAGCACTTATTTATTCTAACAGTTTGAAACCCTTCCCTTCTTCTTCAGCCGAGTGTTTGCAGATAAGGAGGCGATGATGGCTGGAGCTCTGGAGATTGCTGGAGAGATTGCTGGTCGCAGCCCAGTTGCTGTGCAGGGAACCAAAATAAACCTCATCTATGCCAGAAACCACAGCGTAGCAGATGGATTGGATTACATTGTAAGGATGAATATAATATGACAAAGTTTTCTGTGCATATTTTTGTCAGCTTCACAACGTCACTCTTAAGGTTTGTGTTCAGAGTTCTACGGAAGGAATCTGGCATTGCTACCTCATTCCCTCCATTTCAGTTTCCTGGTGTCTTTTATATGACACTTGATAGCATAAAGGGGATGTGGCATGCTCACTTAAATGCATATGAACTTATAAAGTTCCCTTTTTAAAGTACTGACTTAAATTCATAATTTCTCCTTCTCCAGGCCACGTGGAACATGAGCATGCTTCAGACTGAAGATCTGATGAAATCAGCTCAGGCAGCCCTCGAGAAGAAGAGTCCCAAAACTAAGACATACTCTAAACTCTGAACACCAGTGAGGCAAAGCTCAGATACAGAAAGTGCCTCTTTCCTCCTCCACTCCGGCCTTTCTTACAGCAATTTTATAAATCAAAATTACATTTACTAGCTGGAGATCTGTATCCACACTAGACAGTATTTTAATGTCATTATGTGTTTAATAATTCATTCAGGTTCATATTTCTCCTGCTCCAATATCAGATATGGATAATATTTAACTAAGGCAAATCTTAACTGACTGAGCTGAGAAACATTTTGTTCATCTGTAAATGACCTTCTGAATGTTTCCTCATTAAAGACACTTGTGTGAAAGTGATTTTAAATTTCCAGTCTTGCTAGAATCAAGAGGGCACATCAGAGGAGATTTAGGAGGAACAACTGCTCATCTCTTTCTAACGTGCTGCAGTTGAGTCTGTTGTAATGCACTGCTTACCAGTGTGGTATCAAGGCTGTTCTGTAGCACAGCGGTCTCCAACCGTTTTTGTGCCACGGACAATATTTTCACGGACCGGCCTTTAAAGTGTCGCGGATAAATACAACAAAATAAAAATAGTACCGGTACCGAAAAAAATAAGATTTATTCATAACACACGTGAAAAGACCCAGGAAAACCAAGTTAACGATCAAAACGATAACAAAATAACACTGAAAACCATACATTTCACACCTGAGCCTCAACTCTCCTGGCCCAGTACCAAACGACTCACGGACCGGTACCGGTCGGAGGCCCGGGGGTTTGGGGACCGCTGCTGTAACAGACAAACAGGCACTGCGAGGAGTGGTGAGAACAGCAGAAAAGAAAAACATGGCAAAACGAAAACTGGAGGATACTCAAGCAAGCACAAAACATCATCAGTGATGGGGTCACAATAGAATCTTACAAGAAAGAATCAAAAATTGTATTCCATTGTGCTTTATTAGCTCCGGTGAAAAACAAGTTAACAATGCAAAAAAACCCAAAAACAAAACAACATGCTGGAAAACAGTTATTCATCACTTGGCTGCTTCAATACAACACTTGGGCACATATGTGGGACTTTTCGTGGCTGTTTTGATATCGCTCTCTCTCTTTTAACCAATCCAATTTCGCTGTGGTAGAAGCTTTAAACTCGGTATGACCCAGGTTGATGGAGGGTGCCCAGTCTGGATCGCATTCCAGCATTTTATAGGCTGGTTTTCCTACAAAACACAACAAATATTAGCCTGCAAAGCCACAGTGAACAAAGCAGCATAGCGCAACGAATTCAATTCAAATCAATATAACACTTATTTGTAACCTACATCAACAATTATGTTATGATAAATTATGTAATAACTACAACAGAAGACTTACCTTTGTGGAAATGCTTGGAGCAGACTAACATGTGAGCTGGAGTGTTCTGGGACGTTATATTTGGTCTTCGAATGGCTGCAATCCAGGCCATCCGCCGGCTCTTTGTTACTTCGGAAACATGGCTTGAACAATTTCTCTTCCACGACGTAATCCGATAAAAATCTATCTTTTTACCCGTTGGCTTCCCTCTCTCAAGAGGGGCGCCGTTTGTAAAGTGAAAACATGCTGAAATTAACGGCAACATTTTTCCACATTTAGCTCAGAACCTTACAAAAACATGTTTTTTTGAGTCATTTTTTACAGCATTTAGTAAAATATTTTTACACAATTTTAAATATTAAATCTAAATATTAAATTTAAATATTAAGTGTTAAATCTAAATATTATATTTAAATCTAAATGTTAAATGTTAAATCTAAATGTTACAGGACAAATTTATTGTACGGATCAACGGAAATACCAAAATAAAAGCTTCACGAAAACCTCCGGTGCAAAAGTGTGCCAGTAGTGGTCAGATTGTGTCTGCTCTACCCTGATGGTCAGTTCTCAACGCCATAAGCGGCTTCACTTCTTGCCTAACAGCACGTCCAGCGATTTAGCTGAAAACATCGGAAGATCCGTTTTGTAGGCCATCCAAAGGTTCAGGAGTAGTGAACTCTCAGCAGCAGCAGTCTCCACTTCACAATCGCTGCAGCACATGTCCAGCTAAATAGCTGGACATGCTCGTTTACCATTTAGATTTAATGTTTAATATTTAGATTTAACATTTAAAATTGTGTTTTAAATATGTAAAGTTACAAATATTTTACTAAATGTTGTGAAAAAATGACTTGGAAAAAACATGTTTTTTTAAGGTTTTGAGGAAAAATCTTGCCGTTAATTTCAGTATGGTTCAATTTACAAACGGCGCCCCATATTGTTCCCCCTCCATGCATTGCTACCTTATCGAGATGAAGGGGTTGGTGTGTCCCAGGCAGTGGCGGTCCTAGCCTGTTTGGCTCCCTGGGCAAGCACTCCCTCTGGCGCCCCCCCACACACACACACACACACACACACACACTCACACACACAGTACACGCACACACACACAGAGAGCGCGCACACACACACACACACACACAAAACATATTAAGGATTGTACATTAACATAAAGCTGTTGTACACACACACATATATGAAGAGAGAGAGAGTATGCACAGTATGCGAACGGCTACCAAACAGCCATCATAATACGTCATACAATGAGAACAGAAACAAATCAACAATTGACAATGACTATGATGCAGAGATTTTTAAAAATGACTGTATTTGATACTACAGAATGTATTTTGGGACTTTATTTTTTTTCCGCTCTCCAGGCAGTTTAGTGTCAGTGTTGACCACGCTTGCAGTGAAACATTCAAAAGGGACAAAGTATTTAAAGGGAGACGCGACAGAACTTCACGACCTGCTTGACCACCTGCGATGTCATGATAAAAGACTTACAAGCCCAGAATTCACAGGCAAGTAGCATGGAAGCTGTTGTCTTATTTATGACTGACTATGTCCTAATGTTCTCTGTGAACATACTTGTCTGCAGGGAGTCCTCAGAAATACCTGGTGTGCAGTGAAAGACCCTGTTAGTTGCTGAAGTAAAAAGCAAAACAAACTGAGAACATATAATGAGGTGATTTGGTTGTGTGTGTGTGTGTGTGTGTGTGTGATCATTTTCGCTCTCAGATGAAACTAATGGGAAAACGGCACTACTGAAGGCTTTGCTGAACCTGAAGGGTGGAAATAACAACAAAATTGAAGTTATCCTTGACATAGCAGAGAAAACTGGAGATTTAGAAAATTTGATCAATGCATCGTATACAGATCCTTACTACAAAGGTAGGGTGAAGGAAAACTGCCAATCTTAAAATAGACCTATCGATGTTTCTGTGTTGTACTGGCAAGCCTTTCAAGATAAATTATGGATCATACAAAATTGTGATGACTAACCTCAGCTTGTTTCTTATAACAAAAGTCCTACGTGTAACAGGTCAGACAGCCTTGCATGTTGCCATTGAGAGGCGGAGCTTTGAGCATGTGAAGCTGCTAGTCCAGAAAGGAGCTGATGTGCAAGCCAAAGCAAATGGAAAGTTTTTCCAGCGTCATGCTGAAATGGGCTTTTATTCTGGTGGGTAATGTCATATTGGTGTTAACAAGCTACACTTTATGTCTCAGTTGTTTATGGCTGAGTGTTATCTCTAAGCTCATCTGTTTGTGTTTCCATTAGGGGAGCTCCCTCTGTCATTGGCTGCCTGCACCAACCAGCCTGATATTGTGTCCTTTCTCATGGAAAACCCTTACAGAACAGCTGACGTGACTGACAGAGGCTCACAAGGAAACACTGTTTTGCACACCTTGGTTGTCATAGCAGACAACACGAAAGAAAACACAGATATGATTGCAAAGATGTATGATGAAATACTTGTTCAACAGAACAAGCTTGACAAAAAAGTCCAGTTTGTAGAGATTGAAAATAATGATGGCATGACTCCTCTAAAACTGGCAGCAAAGCTCGGTAAGATAGAGGTACAGTGGGGCAAAAAAGTATTTAGTCAGCCACCGATTGTGCAAGTTCCCCCACCTAAAATGACGACAGAGGTCAGTAATTTGCACCAAGGGGGAGGAAGCTTATCATTTTGGGTAAGGTGCTAGTTATCAAAGCTGATATCCTACCAGGCCTTCTCCACCTTGCTTACATCTTCCCAATTCCATGTGTGTTGAGGAAAAGGTTTATATGAAAAATGTTCAAGTTTATGTGGGGGGGTATGAATATGTGAAAAGGGGGATGATGTACCAAGAGATAGCACTGGGGTTAGTTCGTTAAAGTAATACAAATGCAGAAAAGATAAACAGATACATTCAACCTCCCTCCAGCTGCAAGTTTTCTCAGACTTGGCCAACTTCACCCTTCTCAGAAATAGCCAGGAAAGCCATTACCCTGTCAGGCTTTGGGAAGAGTCATTTCACACCAAAGTTACAAAAATGCAGAAATAATTGTAATTTATTTAAGCTCGTTTTGTATGTCCACTTCCATGGTTAGAAACTGCTGCAAATCCAGTGTCAGTACTCTACAGTAGATTACTGTGGTCTAGAGTAGACTTTGTGCAGTTTTCTGTCTGTACACCTGAGGGCGGAAGTGTGTCTTTGTGAACCTTAAACAATCATAGACGTGTTTATTTGATTTTCGTCGTTTCATTTCAACGCACGATACTGGTATTATAATTCTTTCTCTTGTAATTATCAAATTATGAAAACAATTATAACGCCAAGAAAGTTATAAAAATGAATTAAGACGCTCCGTCTAACGACCGCTGATTGGACTGCAGGCGACCACGTGATTTTGAATCTCATTAACCGGCATGCGCTGACCGGCGTTTCAGAAACTAAAGTGTCGTATATAGTGGCGCCGTTTAAAAACTGAAACATGCCGACCATAGTTATATTGTGATGTTTCGGAGGTAAAACGTCAGTAAAACTCGACCTGTCCTCTACCATTTGTTAGAAGGCGACTGTGTTCTTCATTGTAACCATGAGTTAGAGTTGCAGTAAGCAGAATGAGTGGTTTCTGTCGTGCGATATGTGGGTATCGCTTCTCGGCCTTTTGGCTAAGATCAAGTGTAGTATCTGTTCTTATCAGTTGGCGAGAAGCAATGAAGGATGGCGGCGGCGTCGGCCAATTTTCATGAGAGGAATGCATGGACGCAAGGTACAAGAAATACGTTGAGATTCGAACTTATGGAGAAAGACGAAGATTTCCACGACAGAATCAACTTTGGACGAAGGATCCTCTATGGAGTTTTAAAGATACAGCCGGAAGAGATCTACTGTCTTCAGCAGAGCACGGCGAGTAAACACTACGATGTGACCTTTTGCACGGGACAGAAGGCGGAGGAAGTAAGAAAGAGGTGTATTGGAGAAGATGATGAAGAACTGAGGAAATATAGCGTAACCCCATTGTATAGGAATGATTATAGGATCTTAACTGTACACATGTACAATCCTTGGGTTACTGAAGAGACTATTAAGTATTTCCTGGGAAGATATGTTACCGTACTCCCAGGAGTACGGAAAATAAAGGACGGTTTGGGCCTATGGACCGGAAAAAGACAATTTCGTGTTAAACTTAGAGTGGATGCGGCCACCGATGACGGGTATTGTCACCCGCCCGCGGTGTTCTCTATCGGAGCGGACAGAGGCTTCCTGGTTTATGCAGGGCAACCTCAAGCATGCAGGAAATGTGGTAGCACTGGGCATAATGCAGACAAGTGCGAACAAATGAGGTGCAGGAGTTGCGGAAAAATTGGCCACATAACAAAAGACTGTAAGGAGCCTAGAAGGTGTCATTTATGTGACTCGGATGAGCACATGGCAAGAGACTGTACTAAGCCTAGGTCATATTCGGAGGCGGCAAAGGCTGGAATTGAAGTGAACATTATAGAAATGCGGACATGGAAGCAGATACTGGAGAAGGAGCACAGGAGGCGCCACCAGCTGCCGGAAATCGGACTAATGAGGAGAAAGCTGGGAGTATGGAAGATGGAGCGGAACAGAGAAAGGAAAAAGGAGAAATGTTTTGTGAACAGGATGCCGAGAGGCAAGGTGAGGACGATCAGACATGGGAAGTGGCAGCTAAGCCACGGAGAAAAACTGCTAAGAGACGGAGGAAGGCGAGTTCTGGCGTTTCTTCAGAAGAGACTAAGGTGGAAGGTAAGGAGGGCAGAGAGGAGCGGACTGAGGAGGTGGGAAATGAGGAGGGATACGTTCTGAGAGGAACACAGACTGAATGTATGCATACTCCTATAAGTGACTTAACAAGCGATGGGGACATAGAAGAGGAGGCCGAAAGTGAAGAAAAGTCAGAAGATTCCTTTATAAAAAACTTATTGGCACATGTTAATATGGACAGTTAAAGATGGTGGGAGTGGACAAAAAGGAAACTATTTAAGTTTAAATATGTCCCTATGGTTTTGTTTTTGTACTTCTTTTTTTTTGTTGCTGGGATACGGGGAAAATCCGAATAATTACGTTAAACGTAAGGGGGCTTAAAAATGCCCGAAAGAGACAAATGGTTTATGAATTTTTATTATTTTATGATTTTGATGTTTGTTTATTGCAAGAAGTACATCTAAAGGATGAGGGGGATGTTGCTGTTTTCACGGAGGAATGGAGAGGAGGAGAATCTGCGTGGAGTATAGGGGGGGTACATGGGACAGGAGTTGGAGTGTTATGTGGAAATCAAAGTGTACAGATAAAGGAAAGCTACACGATAATACAGGGAAGGGTGATGGTCGTAGATGTGGAAAAAAACGGGACGCAAAGTCGGATAATAAATGTGTATGCACAGGTGGATCCAAAGCTGAGAAGAGAACTATTTTTAAAAATGGACACCTGTTTCATGACAAGAAAGAATATTATAGTGGGAGGGGATTTTAACTGCTCCTTGGAGAGGGAAAAATTTTCCCTCCCCTTTAAGACATTTATAAAAAAATATGGTTTGATAGATGTAATGGCCAAATTACAGGGGAAACAAGTAGAGTATACATGGAAGAATACAAGAGGGGTGAAAAGTAGATTGGATTATATATTGGTAGACAAAAAGAGTAAAATAAAGAGAGGGAAAATAATACCGGCACTGTTCACGGATCATCAAGCTGTAGAGGTGGAATTGGAGATAGAAGGAACGGAATTCGGGAAGGGATATTGGAAATTAAATAATGAAGTACTTACGGAAAAAGATTATAGGGAAAAATTCTTAGAGCTCTTCCCGTTATGGGCAGAGATGAAAAACTTATATATGAAGGAATTAGATTGGTGGGAGGATGTAAAAAATAAAATTAAAAAATTTACAGTGGATTACTGTACGGAGAGGTCAAAATTAAGAAAAGAAGAATTTTGTGCGCTACAGAAAGAGATAGAACATACTTATGTAAAACAAAACGAGGGAAGAAATAAAAATATGGATGAGAAAATAGAAAATTTAAAATTGAAGCAAGAAGAATTTCTTGAGAGGAAGGCAAGGGCTGAAATATATAAAATAAAGCAGGAGGAGTACGAGGAAAATGAGAAATGTTCAGCTTTCTTTTTTAAAAAAATGAAAAGTAGGGATAAAAGAGGGGTTATAACGAAATTAGAGAAGGATGGGAAAATGATCGAGGGGAGGGAAAATATGCTAAAAGTGGTGAAAGAATATTACGAGGACTTGTTCAGGAAAGAAAAATTAGAGGGAGAGAAGGGGGATTTCTTCTTAAAGACAATAAAGAAGAGATTAACGGGAGAAGAAAGGGATAGGCTAGAAGGAGAGGTGACGATAGACGAGGCATATAGCGTGATAAAGGGAATGAAGGCAAATAAAGTGCCGGGAATAGATGGTCTAACAAAGGAATTTTATGAGACCTTTTGGGGAGTGGTGGGGATACATTTGTTGGGGGTTTTTAAGGAAATCACGGAGGGAGAGGGGATGACAGAGAGTATGAAGATGGGCGTGGTTTCTATATTATTCAAGAAAGGTAATCCACATCAACTTGATAATTATAGACCTTTAACCATGTTATGTGTGGACTACAAGATTTTGAGCAAGATATTCGCAAATAGACTCGTAGGAGTAATGACATATATAGTGGAGAAGGATCAAACGTGTGGGGTCCAGGGGAGGCAAATTACTTGGAACGTACAATTACATAGGGATATACTTACATATGTAAGAGATAGAAATATAGCAGCAATTTGTGTTAGTTTGGATCAGCAAAAGGCGTTCGATAGGGTAGATCATGATTTTTTGTGGAGGGTAATGGAGGAAATGGGGTTAGGAGAGACTTTTATAAAAAGAGTAAAAACTTTATACAAAGGCATAAACTCAAAAATTAAATTAAATGGTTTCCTTACAGAAAAAGTTTATCAAACAAGAGGTTTGAGACAAGGGTGTCCATTATCTGTCGTACTTTACGTACTTTATGTCGAACCTTTGGCCTGTGCAATAAGGGAGAGCCAAAGGGTGAAAGGGATAATGATGCCACGGGGGGAAAGCTTAAAAATATCGCAATATGCGATGACACGATATTATATTTGGCAGATGATGACAGCCTAAGGGGAGTGATAGAAATTTTAAAAGCTTACGAAAAAGCGACGGGATCGAAAATAAATAAAGAGAAGACAAAGTACAAATATTTGGGGATATGGGAGGGTAGAAAAGACAATATTTGTGAATTCACTTTGTGCAAAGGTCCAATGGACATCTTAGGAATTTCATTTGGAAATAAGGAAGGTGATGCTATCTGTAATTGGAAAGAGAAGATGAATGCAGTGGACAGAAAATTAGGCCTATGGAAAGCAAGAAAACTTACAATAACGGGGAAAGTCTTGGTTATAAAGAGCGAGGTAGTGCCGAAACTATTACATTTGGCCTACGTGTTTCCGATGCCACAGATTTATAGAGTACAAATAACGAGGGGGATATTCAAATTTATATGGGGGGGTTATGAGTATGTAAAAAGAGTACACATGTATCAAGAAATTGCAGATGGTGGGAAAGGGGTACCGAATGTCCCGTTAAAGTTGGATACAATATTTTATGCAAATGTTTGTACATTATTGAAAAAGACTTATATGCACAAATGCCAAATATTGTTATGGTTTTGGTTAGCGATACCATACCGGTTTTTGATTGGGTGGGAAAATAAAGGTCCCAAAGCAGAGACTAGACCAGAATATTTTCAGAGGATGGTTAGATGGGGGAAGAAACATGTGGAATGTAAAGAGGAGGATACAGTATTAAGTCATAAACTTTTATACAAAAAACTGGTATGGAAAACTAACTACAATCAGGTAACGGGGAGCCCGGAAGTGTGGGAACTTGCACAAGACAAGAGTTTTAAAAATGTTTTAAAGGACTTTAACTGGATGCACTTACATAAAAGGCTTCCAGTGAGGGTCACAATGCATGCACATAATTTGGGGAAACAAAAAAAGTGTCCAAGAGAAAATTGTGTAGAAGATGAAACAATCGAACATGTACTATGGGGATGTGAATACGCTAAGAAAGTATGGGAAGGGGTAAAGGGGAAGTACAAAGAGTTGGGGATGGTGACGTATGAAGAAATT